GATACAGAGATAACCTCCTACTGTTTAAAGTCTATGCCTTTTGCCCAGGGACTGGTCAGCCACAGTATCGAGTAACAACGTTCATGTGTACGCTGGACGTGTAGGCCTTGTCCTCTTGGTCTCTCGCACGTGATTAGTACGTAAGATCAGCAGGTCATCCAATGAAGGGCTGGTTTGACTTATCAAATTCACATGCGGTTTCTAATGGACTTTTCGTGATGCGCGTGCCCTTTAGCCTGCGTCCAGCCATATTCACTGACAAAAATTTGGTTTCTGTTCTCCACTTTTATATCTCCAGTGTTCTATCATTTTTAGACCTTGTTTAGTGAGGAAAACCCTCCCTATATCCCATCTCTGTATCTTGTTGTACTTTACAATTATCTTTCTATGAGAAAACATTGCCTGCTATATGTCTTAAACTTTGTAATCTATTACATATTTGCCTATACTTTGTATCCCTTGTTTGCTGTTACACAGTATGGGAAGCAAATTGTACTGATTTTTATGTGCTATAGTATTACGATATTGGACAATGGAAAATTGTGATCCTGTTTTTATCACAATCAATTTTACATGTCATTAATAAATGATCTTCGAACAACACTTATCATTTCGTTGTTCTTGTTAGTAAAATTGTTACAACAAGACAAACTGTTGTCTCTGAATATGTTACCATGGTAACACAAATAACACCTCTCAATACAAGCTCCCGAAATAGACACATAGTAGCTGAATAATGAATGATCTTGCTTCAGACAATTATTTTGTCCTTCAAGGACAGATCCTTGATACTGTAGGCATGGTGAAACCTGGGATTCGACTGAGGAAAATCAAAAGTCTAGATTGAGATATGTACCTTTCCAATATTTCGATAAAATTCATAGTTTTCAGTATCGGAATATTTAAAAAAATATTAAATGTTTGTGCATATTTTGGTCCTTGCCATTGTTTAAATAACTTGAAACGCGGTATGCGGACCACAGTTTTTCATTAATCAATGGCGTATTGAATTGGAGTAAAATTTGAATTTTGACTTTGTGATTAGTATTAACATTGATCTTGAAATCTATGAAAGTGTAGACTCTTATACATCAGTTCGAAATCGCGTTCTTCATTAAAAGTAACATAGACATTTTACCGTTTATTATTTTAACTTTCTATATGAAATATTAAAGGTTTTGTTCTTCCTCTTTCGATACAAGCATAAGCAAGGTACAAAAGACACACAGGTGAATAATACCTTTTCATAATTTATAGTGAAATACAGTAGTGACAAATAATGAATTGAACTTCATCATATAGCTATTCCGTCCTCCTAGGACTTTACAGCGATGATACGGGCTTAATATGAAGCCTAGGAGGTGACTGAGAGAAATACAAAGTAATCGAAAGGAAAGTCAAAATCTAGACGGGAAGGTGCAGCAGCCCCATAATTAGATAAATTAAGTAATTTTCATACATCAGATAATTTAAGAATATCAGTAAGTACATGTGTATTTTCTGAACCGTGCCAATATTCGAATGAATTTAAACGTGTTAAGCAGGTTACAGAAACCTCGTGTATTTATCCGATATATGTACGCTTGTTACAAAAACACAACGACTTCAATGTTATATGATACAGCTGTAAGATATCGGTCCGACACATTTTAAAAGGTACAGGGTGATGCGAACTTTTCCAAGGTGGTGTTGATACCTTAATCTAATTTGGACTATCCTCTATATTGTGCTTTATGAACACCTTAATGGCCGTTGATTTCCGCATGGACGCTACTTGTGTTCGTTTATTCCATGTAATTGTGCTTGGATGGTCTTAATTCGCTCTTTTGCTGTTTCATTCTGGCATTAGAATTGACTTCAATGCATGTGATAAATGAACATGAAACTTTTGAATATCGTATGGTTTCTTTATTTTCCGTAATACTAATATACACCAGTGTTTATTGTTTCTTTTGTCATTCATAAGGGACGATGCTACCTACTTAACTCTCATTAACCGATTTAGTCTTACACCTGTTTTTAAGTATGGCTCCACATGCCTCGTTTTGTCGACCTGTGTGACATTTAAAGGTTAAAGGATCAGATAGTCACTATCAATTATCAAATGATCTTTAACATGCGAAAGGTGATGTCCACGCTAATAAGTGGAGGAAAAGAAAGCTGGCGCGTATATAATCAATCATTATTTCCTGAATGAAATATAATTCTACAGATATATCCCAGTATGGCCAAAGAAAAAGATTTTGTTTGGTAAAACACTGGCGAATAAGAATGCATGTGATTGCATGTCTTAAAATTGTTTTGCAAACGAGTTTTGTTATGGTTTATCTTTAACATTATTTTTGTAATTGCTTAATGTATTTATGTTGATAAAAAGAAAGATGCAAATTTAATACTAACTCTCTCTATTACATCTCCTCTTAAGTATACAACATATAAGATATCTTAACAGAAGTCCCAATAGCAAAGAGGATAAATCCCTGTTACAAACGGGCTTCAACAATGTACTTGCTATCCTCATGGTAGGAATCTCAGAAGGCGACTAAACTAGGAATATTTACATTCCTACTGTCTCCATTGATTCTGCCTTCAACTTGCCTTTAGATCAGCGTTTTACTCGTGAGGAAGATCAAGGTTCTATCTTCTCGCCGGGACACATAGAAGGTATCACTATTTGACAAAAAATGACAATTACTACCACTGATGGAGAACCGACTAGTTTGCCCGTTACCATTGTAATATGACCTTCGGCAGTAAACGTCCGTGGAGTAACACTATAAGAAGTCGGCCTTAGTTCCGCATATCACGTCAGTCAGTCAGTCAGTCAGTCAGTCATACCATTACTCCTCATTCACCCCACCGTAAGCCGTTCTTAAATAATTATAGCTGTTGGTTTAGTATCCAACAATATAAATTAAACCAAACCTGACTGATGATTTATCTAATCGATTGAGTGGAAGGATGGCGCAATGACACAACACACTTGTCTTTGGCGAGCGGGGTTCAAATTTCCCATTTAGATGAAAAAAAGGTATTGTGTCACCCGTATGACCACGTCGGTTTTGACGTCGTGTTGTAAGATAAATGAAGATAAATAAAGTTCATAATCATATTAGTAAATTAATCATATTGGAAAATAGCTATATTGTGTGTCTTTGCATCATCATTTTACCGATAAAAAGACCCAAAAATATGCATTAACCATAAAATCAAGCAAACACTTCCCACTTGATTATTTGGGTCTGTTTTCCACAGATAGACAAAACCGAGATACACTATCAAAGTACCAAAAATAGCAAGTGGATCTCATGGCTATGTTAGAAAATGAAAAAAACCTGTCCAATTAAATGGAATCATGTCTATAAAATCAGATTATGACGTCTGTTCCGAGCAGAATTGCCATTAATGTGATCAGATATTTCTGTAGGTGCGTGCACCATAGATTTATTTCGAAGTATTGTCAGCTTGCTTGTAACGATCCTGACCCGTCACGTCTGACAGAGAAAAAAACATTTGGATGACTGTATTAAATGACTTAAGGCAGCACGTGGTCTTTGAGTGAATATAATTTCAAGCTGGGAAAGTAGGATGTAGGACGTAATTATATTTCTGTAGAATGATTTTGCCGATAGGTGGTGATACGTCTGCCTGAATCGTCTAGTTATTTCCTGTACGTGTCGTTCTTCGGTCAGTGTCTACGCAGTTGAGAACTACAGTCATGTATTGGTTTTATGTTTTGTCGATTTAAAAACAAAATCGGTAGGAAATACTTTGGAAGCTATTTGTTCACCGTTGACCTTTCTTCAGTGATTTCTTGATGTATGTTAATGTCTGTGAAGACATTGATGGTAACTAATATTATGTAGCATAGATAATATATTCTATATAGAATATCATTGCATGCGACTAGAGAAAATAAACATAGTTCTATTGTGAATTTAAATATAAGCAGGATTCAGCTAGACAGTGGACTAGTTTCTGACGTGACGTGTTTTCTGTAATTAATCTTGAAATTATATTTGGTCTGTTTAACGACAGACGAATAAATCATCATGTTGACCGTGTTATAACATATTTGAAACACTCGCTTAATACTAATCATTCATGGTGTCTTTGTTAAACATATACGGAACAATGTCAACAACCATCAAAATAAACGATTGTATAAATAGCATTTTAACCTCGAAATATAATCCTCGAAATCATTTTCATAGTTAAGTGCAAGTAAATCATATATGCATTGTGGTTTTCTGGATCAAGACGGAAGCCTTTTGACATTTGTCTCAATCGGTTTGGTTTCATTTGATTCAATAACTATTTCTAAATGGATTCTGTCTATAACGTCTGGAATACACTTTACCAAATGTCTAATGTGCTTTTTTTGAAAACGGTAATGGATTCAAAATAAATATACGTAGTCAGAAATCATTCGCCAAGAAATGCAACATGGCGTATGACGGCGTATGATTTGTATTTTCTAAATGCCACATGTCGACTATTGTATCATTGTCTGATACCCTTTGTCAACGAAAGTTGATTCATAAAGATTGTCCTGAATTGGTTTTGACAGAAAATATTTTAACAGGTATATTCAATTTGGAACAGGAATTGGTTGTATCTCCAGCAGTAACAGATCCCGTCGTTTTCTGCTGTCATAGAACCTGGCTTTATCTCATTTTGCTGCGATGGCTCATTTCATTATGTCATAACTCATCACATACGTTTAAAGTTATGAAGCGTCGCTTATATTTGCTAGAACATGAATTTCTTAACCTTATTTTCGATGACCACATTGTGGAAATGTTTTGCAAGCTTAAAAAATCTAAAGAAATAGTATTGATCAAATATAAGAACACAAATGCTCCACAAGGCAACCGTTCAATATGTAAATATGATATAAATGTAATTTTCGATTTATCTCTGAACAAAATTAAGTTGTTTATAAATAAAACTATTATCGTTGTTTTATTTTTGTTACAGACCAAAATTTAGAATTAGGCATGATTAAGGACAAGAACGGACGAAGTGACGAAATTGCAATGGAACCGGAAGGACTGGAAGTGATGACTTACAAGTGCACGTCAAGTGTGGAGCCTGAGGACATGCGCATTATGAATCACAGCCATTTGGAACTTATTGTTAAGGAATTCCAAAACGCAGATCGCTGGTTTGACGTCACTACAGAGACATATCTGATAGTAGCTTATACAATCGTCATTGTGACAGGAATTTTGGCGAATTCGCTCGTATGTCAAGTTGTTTTCAAATATCGGTATTTGCGTAAAGCCCGTAATATCCTCATCGTCAACCTTTCCATCTGTGATATCCTTATGTGTACGTTTTGCATGCCATTTTCATTAATCAAGCTCACTTTGAAAAACTGGCACCTTGGAGAATTTGTATGTCGTATTGTTCCAAGTCTTCAAAATGTTGATGTCCTTGTTTCGACTTTTACTATTGTTGCCATAGCGTTTGACAGGTACCGTGCTATAGTTACTGTCTCCAGAGAAGGACACCACCGTAATGGTCTTAAGTATATTATTGTGCTGATATGGATAATTGCCATTTTTTGTTGTATTCCGATGGTAGTCTTCCATCATGTGGAGGTACCGTGCATAATGGAATACGGAATATTCCAGATTTGTACAGAAGTTTGGCCTACCCAAACTTATAAAAGTATATATACAATAACCTTCACCGCCATCCAGTACGTGATGCCTCTCACAGTTGTTATTACGTTACATACAAGGATATGTTATGTTCTACGCATGCGCATTCGTAGTGATCCAATCACAGAAACAGAAATTAAGCGAGTTTTACGTGATATCAAACGTAATAAAAAGAACATGATGCTACTGTCTGCAGTCGCCGTTTCGTTTGCTCTTACATGGCTTCCTTGGACGATACTCAATATGACTGCTGATTTTGATTACCGTTTCTTCATAGACAAAAACTTCAACCTTATGTACGCCATTTGCCTGCTAGTAGCCATGACCTCCTCTTGCATAAATCCAATCATGTATGGGTGGTTCAATAGTAACTTCCGGCAAGCCTTTATTAGTGCTCTTTTGTTCTGGAGGAGGGAAGTAAGCGACTCAATGGAACTGATCACCATAAAATCAGATTCTAGAGACAAACGAGGATACGGGGGAAATGACACTGGTTCCAACAGCTAATTGTTGCTATTTAAGACTTGATGGGTTTGATATTGATGCTGCCGATGCAGAAGGCAAGGGCATGCCCTTGACCTTTGACATGAAAAAGATAGTTATTAAAGAATGATTATTTCATTTTTCCTATGATTAATGATTGACATTAAAAGTCTGAATGAATATTGTTAACGATTTACATAGATTTTACATATATTCTTGTATAAAATTTTAACCTTTTGATCCCTTTATGAAATAAATGCACACTAAAGCTAATCGTTGCGTACTCTAGTAGAGAATGTGGTATGTACTTTTTATATAAATGAAATATATATAAAATCAGATTATGATGTCTGTTCCGAGCAGAATTGCCATTAATGTGATCAGATATTTCTGTAGGTGCGTGCACCATAGATTTATTTCGAAGTATTGTCAGCTTGCTTGTAACGATCCTGACCCGTCACGTCTGACAGAGAAAAAAACATTTGGATGACTGTATTAAATGACTTAAGGCAGCACGTGGTCTTTGTGTAAATATAATTTATAAAAAATGTACAGAAATCGTCATTTTATAATACATATCAGTCTCTCTTACTTTATCAGCAATCGTAATCCTTTGATAAAATCTGCATGTTGTCTGAAAGATGAAAGCGATTCGGTAACAGTGAAATAACAGTACCGTCTATCATGGTGTTAAATGCTGAAGGCTATATCGTTAGTTATACGGTATGTCGTTAAGTTGATATAGGGTAGTACAAAATACAAACAATTCATTCGATAAATAAGCACGATCTTTAAGGGAAAAATGACAGCACTTTATCCCTTCCACTACAGCATAACTATACTTGTCTACAACTGTATTTATCGTGGCATCGTATTTCATGAGCAGTATTCGCGATACCTTCACTGAATGAATGTTTTTGGGACGGACCACTTTATAAAGGACACGTCTCGATGAAAACTCACCTGTACTTGCAACACCCGTGATTGTACGTGTAGAATTCACTATTTGTACGCATTGAGCATGTCAAAGCACGCCATTTCATCATTTGCCCTCACAACTTTATATTATTGATATAAACAGTAGTAAACAAAAGGTCACAACTAAACATTTTCACGTGTAAAAGTAATTGCGTTTTATATGGGGTTCAGTATATTAAAACCAATCCCATCTAAACGAAAGCTATACAGATTTTCTCATCAAAATAGAAAGTCACTGGAAAGACCAGAAACGGATAGCCCTACACGTTCGTCAGAGTGTCATCATTATCATAATTATCATAATTCATATTTTTTTTCTCCGATTAATATTCCCATGCTTATGAAGTTATGTCATTTCAGATTAACTTCGAACAGTAGGAAGAAATAATAAAATAAAATAATTATTTTTAAAATGTGTAACATACAATTCATATTTTGTTAAAAAGGAAAATTTCTCTGATGTAATGAAGGATTGGAGGTCAATGAAGAACAAGAAAGCTTTCATATCTGGACCTGGAAATAATTGAACGAATTACTTAAACAGATCTTTCCTGTCAATTACTACATGTTTTCCGGTAAGCATAAAATCATATACATAAACAACAGGTGTGTATTCAACCCTTAGGAGGAAAGAATTTGTAAAACATGCATCCACTGGCCTAGTTTAACTATAAATAGAATGTATATTCTCAATCTGGTTCCAAAGTGATGTTTTATTGTGTTCGATAAGACACCTATGTGGTGAAATGAAATCAACCGATTCTACCACAACAGGATTAGATCAACTTGACTGATCTGATAATTCCAAAGGAACATTGTACATTACGAAATTCCGGAAATCATTGTTGACATGTACCCTAATATTGAATTCATGCTTTTCATCATATGACACCAACATCTACGACAAACAAGGTGAAACCCTTAAACAATCGTAACGACCATGTCTGGCGGGACCTAATCGCCAACCTTTCCCGAATATTTTAAAGAAACTTCATTTTTCAACTTCTTTTTCAAAATATTATATTCATATATTGACCAATTTAATTTTTGATATATACATAAATTGTTCACACATAACGTTAAATTTCGATCAAATATATAAAAACACTATCGTCTTGTACGTCTAGTGTGAAACATTAATTTTAAATAGAAAATAAATATCACGATTAAAGTGTGGGCAATCCATGAGGCTGTGTACAACTTGTACACATTGACGACTCGTAGAGTTCTCATCTGTGATTTAGATTGGTTCGTAAAAACAGAATAGATTACTGTTAATATCCACAGATAGGTTGGACTGTAACCTTGAGACACTTATTCCAATAATCTTGGCTTGGTTGACTCCGGTTTTACTAAACGCCTTCTCCCCATCCCCCACTTACAGTAGTCGACCAACTAACCAAAAAGCCATCATTCCATGACACGTCATACAACATATCTTTTTTGCTATCCCATATGTTAAGTCATGCGTATTGTTGTGCGAACTACATACGGATTGTGTAAAGCTTATAACTAAATCTTACGTTTTGTCCGTTTGTTGTATTGTATGCAATTGCAGCGAACAATATTCGGCAAAACGTTTTCTTTAATATAGGTTTAGAATTATTTTATTACATACAATTGCAAATGAAGATTATAATCCCCCAAAATTGATGCTTTTGTTACATCAGATAAATTCAATATAATCTACGCTAAACGCCAACAAGTTGATTGTTTAAGTGCGCACGTTAGCTCCAGGCTACACATCAGTTGATCTAATAACATCTTGACTAAATTAGATAATCCGATCACATGTGGAAGTTGTTCAAAAGGTTTAATGCCGAAATGTACTCTATCAAATTGTAATTTAATTCTGTATATATTGAGTAACCCATGGAGACGAGAGGACGTGTTAATCAGACAAGGAAATGTCTACCAAGCCATTTCTACCTGTATCTCCGAAATCGTCAGGTCATAACTTTGTCAATACGCGGTAACTTTCGCTCATCAAACTCTCAACGGAAAGATAAAACATTTATCCTCAAGCTAGTGTATGCGTTACTAATCCACATGATATAAAAACATAATTTGAAAAAGTGTGTACGCTTTTTACCTCTCCGAAATTACAATCCTTGGTTCTATAACATATCATATATATGGCCCGTGGGTTGTTAGATCGTGGGATTTCGTGCGAAGCTAGGTTACAACAATGGATACTAAATAGCTCCTTTCAGTACCAATTTGGAATTCAAATGCAGCGTTGAAATATCATTAAGTAAACTGCATCATACGGCTGTTTCGCCTTTGCAAGGGTCGTCCTGGCCTGATTGATACCGGATATTGTTACTCGCTTTGGCAATTATTAAACATATTAAGGAGTTTTAAAACAAATTTTAATGTTTGTTAAAATGTTTCGGAACGTAGCTTCATCGAAATCCTAAAAGGCATCAGGATGTTCTAATCAAGGAAATGATTTATTTTTATTGTCAATATTAGAAAATATGGCTGCAATTAAAATGCTTTTATTGACGGCGTTCGGTTTACGACGTCCGCGACATCGCATTCGCGACAGGTTTTAAAGTCGTCAATTTATTTTGTTGAATGATCTTACCTTTCGGTGCCAATTTAAGAATTATTTCCAAACGGGAACACTCCATTATGATCTTAAATTCAGAAACCGGCATTATTGGCAAGGTTTACAGGAAGAGAGCATTTTTCCGGTATAACCATTTCGAACCAGCGTCCACGTGGAAAAGGAGAAAGTTTCTTTGATAAGTCATTTCATATTAGTTGAACAGGACGCAAAACATATGTTTGTAACCGAACTGTTCACTTTTTTGTGAACATGATATTGCAATAGACATCTACGAATTACAGCAACAATCGTAGAAAAAAATTGCAGAAAGGTTTTACTGTAAGAATGTGTTTAAGGTTATGTACTATGTGTCCGTTGTATTTTTTATTAAAGATCATAAAAGAAGAAAAAACCCAAGATAAAACAAAAAATCTATATATATATTAATGAGAGGTACATTTGCAATCAATCTACTGTGAAGTCCTAAAGCACTCATTCAAATTATTGGATTTATATCAAATGAAATATTGGCATTACTTGATGTAGCTATCTTATTTGAATAACATTAAATTTGAATTCAATTTGAATTAATGCAGATACATATAATGTTTCAGATATAAAAATGATATCATTCATCTGGACTGCATCGATTACTGCAACATCCACTGACAGATCCTTATCTACATATACGTATCAATAGCATTATGAATTAAATTACCATATGTTGGAATTATCTCAACTACGTAAGTTTCGATACTCTGCCAAATACGACTGAAAACCTTAGTCGTTTGACGACAGTTTTTTCTATGTGCCCAAGTGTTTTCTCCTTCAGTGGAGTTCCATTTGTGGATGTTTCAGGGTCATGCTAGGTCCCGATTTCTTAAGCATAGAGACTTTCGAACGTCAATGAAATAATTATTCGGTGCCAGATAACCAAAAATAGAGTATTGACATTTTTTTTTCTCCAGAAAGAGATGAAATCTCATTAGGTGTGTTTACCAAGACATCAGAATTCATTTTTACAAAGCGTCAATATCGAACAACATGTAGTAATTTGGAAAGTTTACGTAACAAGTATTTGCTTTCTCCAATATTTTCTTCTTGATTTGCTTATGTAACTTGCACGAGTCTGTAATGAAACAACGCTATTGGATAACGTCTATCCTCATCCGTTCATTGACTGACGTTGATGTGCATCTGATGCTTTAATGTAAGTGTGCAATAACAAGAGAGTTTGCTACATTTATAGGGTATCTGTGGGTTTTGCATTATCAACGTGACTTTTACCAAGCTCTCGGGTAGATAGTGGAAGAAATATTGTCGGAACGCAATGTATAGGTGAAAGATATATAACTTGTCTGACATTGATTTTTTATTATATATTTTGAACCTAGAGTGCATTTCTTTGTTGCAGAAGACACTTACTCTTCAAGAACACCTGGCCTTTTTCTCCTTATACTTTTTCAGCAGTAAATGCTTTTGCTCAAATTTG